TACTCCAGGCTAGACCTCTCTTAGTTTGCCTACCTAGCATCTCCATTTATTACTGCAAGTTTAGTATGAATTATTAATATTTCTCCCTTCAAATCCTGCCTGTGAGAAAAAGCAACCATTTCTGTCAAAGTGTCTTCATCTTGTAACCAGTTGCCATTTTATACTTATATTTCCTGGAATTTTTGCTTCTTGACTTCAAATTGTCACCTGTGTTGTTAGTAACCAACCTGCCACATGAGAGTACAAGTCTTTACCAACAAGTTTAAAAGAACAACATCCCTTCAGTGGGAACTCTTCCATTGACAGAACACTCTTTAGCTTCGTCAAATCACTCCCCCCCCCCACACACACACACACACAAACACACAAACCCTGATAGCCAATTACAAATAGAATATGAGCCCAACTCCTTCTGAGGAAGAGGAACAGGCACCACTCCTTGCGTTAGGATGAAAACCAAGAGGTACCTCCCACTGATTGTGCTTGCTTACCTCTAGGCACAGTGGCTATGCACCCTTCCACACAGAAGTAAATTGCCTTAATGAGATCTCCTTTATCTCTTGAGTGTCCATTTCTTTCTGACACTAGAGGGTTAATTTCTTAAGTGTCCCAACACCAGAGGGGCTTGTGCTTCTAACATGCCTTTCTACAGTCTTCTCCAGCCCAGCAAATGGAAATTTTACTATTAGCTTGCTAAAATTTTTAACATTTTGCTGATATTTTTCTGTCTTACCCCACCAAATATTAAAAAAAAAAATCTGGCCTGTTTCACCTTCAAAATATATCCAGATTCTGGGTTCTGCTCCTCCCTTCTTGTGTTACCAGTAATTGATCTCCTCCTTCCACCTTTGTCTCTGCCACCTCCAATTGTTTTCATCATGGCAGCTAAAGTGTTTTTGTTTTTAATTAAAAGAAGTTAGACAAGCCAGTGGCTCACATCTTCAATCCTAGCCACTCAGGAGATTGAGATATTTAGATTGCGGTTCAAAGTCAGCCTGGGCAGAAAAAGCCCATGAGACTCTTATATCCACAAACTACTCAGAAAAAGCCAGAAGTGGCACTGTGGTTCATGTGGTAGAATACTTGCCTTGAGCACATAAGGGCTCAGGGATACCCAGACCCTAAGTTCAAGACTCAGGACTGGCTAAATAAATAAATAAGTTAGACAATGCTATTTCCTCTTTGAAGTTTCCCTACAACTTTCCATCTCAATCTGAGTAAGAGCCAAAGTCGTAGCTTGTCTCTTTTGTAGTATATAGTATTATTTGATTTTTGTATGGCTGAATAATATACAACACTGTTTTGATTACCATAGTTCTGAAGTCAGAAAGTATGAGTTCTACTACATTTTTCTTTTTCAAGATTGTTTAGGTTACTTGGGATTCCCATAATTTCTTATGGATTTTTGGGTCATCTTTTTCCTTTCTACATAAAAGGCCATTGGAAATTCAACATAAGTGACACTGAATCTAATGATTGTTTTTGGTAGCATTCACTTCATAAAACTTAATCCTGCAATCCATAAACAATGAATGTCTTTCCAATATTTGACTCTTTGATTTCTTTCACCAATGCTTTGTAGTTTTCAATACATAAAGTCTTTGACTTGCTTGACTGCTTTCCTAATTTTGTTTTTAAATCATTTGGTATGCTAATGCATAGTATATCTCCTTCAACTCTCTTAAATGTGTTTATTAACTCTGAACAGTTTTCTGTGGTTTAAGATGTTTGCTTATTTATTTATTTATGTAGTTCTAGTATAGGGAGAAGCAATCTTTCTGTCAAACTAAAATATCTCCATTTTGTAACCAGACTCCAGTGTATACTGAATTTTCCTGGTACTGATATTTCCTAGGATTATTTGCTTCTTGGCTTCAATTGCAATTATCATCTGTATTGTTTGGAACCAGCCAGCCTTATCAAGAGTATGAGTCCTCACCACAGAGTTAAAGAATAGGACCCCCCCCACACACACACCCGCAGTTAGAAACTTTCCACTGACTTTACCTACCTCTTCCAACCATAGCTATCATCAGCTTCATTCCCAACCACATTCCCAGCCAGCCATGATGAGAAGAATATGGGCATTGCCTCCAAAAAGACAGCCCTCCCTCACTTTCACGGAAGCCTTTCAATGATGGTTAGAGTGCTTTCTAATTTTCTGGTATTAACCCATCACCCTGGTAACCAATTGTAAAAAAAAAATAGTGAGTCCGATTCCTCCCTTAGCAACAAAGAGAAGGGAAACATCGCTCCTTGGGTTAGGATAAAAATTAAGCAGACCACCATGCTGGGTGTGCTTGCCTAGCTCTGAGGAGTATGATGGTAGTGCAGCATTCTGTACAGAAGTAAAATGCCTTGACAAAATCTCCTGTATCTCTTGTATGTCTATTCTTTTCACCGATGGCTGGGGACAGGTCTGGGAACTGGGCTAGAAAGAACATCAGGTGAACACTGAAGTTGAAAGATGACAGCTAGCAATTGTGGTGGCTGCAGGGTTCATAGAAAGGAACAGTCTTAAAGGTAAATTTAGGTGTCTGAAGACATAGTTTAAACTCAGACTATGTTAAGGCTAAATGCTAGGCTAAGATAAACAGACAAATGTATAACAAGGAGCCGAAGAATGTAGTCAAAGAAATATGACATTCGAGTGAGAGAGGAAAACAGAAAGTTACATTATCTTTGAGCTCTCTGAGTCTGAAGCTATCTTGTCATGAAATGGGAAAGATAAACTGTACTCATAGCCAAACATAAATATATTTAATCCCTATCTAGGACACATTTCTTGAACAGTCATTCTTTAAAAAAAAAGAGATTTCGGCTAAGTGTCTGAGGCTAATGCTTATAAATCCACTGAATCAGGAAGCTGAGATGTGCTAGCCTAGGTAGGAAAGTCCCTGAGACTCTTCATTAACCAGGAAATAGAAGTGGTACTGTGGCTAAAGGGATAGAGTGCCAGCCTTGAGCAAAAGAGCTCAGGGACAGTGCCCAGGCCCTGATTTCAAGCCCCATGACCGGAAAAAAAAAGTCCAGAACTCTCATAATTAATCAAACATTAAAAAAATCAGTCGTGAGGCTTGAACTCAGGTTTGAACTTCTGGTTTTCTGGTGGTTAATTGGAGATGTGTCTCCTGGGCTTTTCTGTCTAGCTGGCTTTGAACCTTGATCCTCAGAGCTCAGCCTAGGATTAATCCTAGCTAGGATTAAGTCACTGGTGTGTGGCTTCGATTTTTTTTTTTCTTCTAGTTCTAGGGTGGACCTCAGAGCCTGGTATATTTCCAGTGACTGAACATACTCTAATACAGAGCTACATCCCCAGGCACCCTAAATTAATTATTAACTATATAAAGAATACACGAACACAGTGTTCATCCAATAAACTACATCTTCAGCAGCACAAACACATTATTCTTGTTAAAAATAAAAATATAGACAATGCCTAAGGTTCCAATTTTGATCTTCCTGAGACCATCATTAAAGTGGCATCTATTATTCCTGAACATTGGTCATCTATTTGCACACTTGTAAATTCATGTAAAACATAAACTTAAAAAAGCTGTTATATTGTGCTTTTGCTTATGCAAAAATACAAAGCCATTATAAATCTTTTTTTTTTTTCTTGTCTTCTTTGTTCTTTTTTTAGCAGTACTAAGCAGCCACTCTTACCACTGCGCCGCACCTCTAACTTTGGTTGTTGCTAGTTATTTATAGGCTTCTGGGTTGCAAGAAAGCTGGAGTAAGGCTGGGAAGATGGTTCAGTGGTAGAGCGCTTGCCTTGCATGCATGAGGCCCTGGGTTCGATTCCTCAGCACCACATAAGCAGAAAAAGCCGAAAGTGGTGCTGTGGCTTAAGTGGTAGAGTGCTAGCCTTGAGCTGAAGAGCTGAGGGACAGTGCCCAGGCCCAGAGTTCAGGCCCCATGACAGACCAAAGTGCTGGGTGCTGGTGGCTCACGTCTGTAATCCAAGCTACTCAGGAGGCTGAGATCTGAGGATGACGGTTCAAAGCCAGCTCGGGCAGGAAACTCCGTGAGACTCTTATCTTCAATAAACCATTAGAAAACCCGAAGTGGTGCTGTGGCTCAAGCGGTAGAGTGCTCGCCTTGAGCTGAAGAGCGCAGGGTCAGCGCCCAAGCTCAGAGTTCAAGCCCCACGACCGACCAAAAAGAAAAAAAAAGAAAAACAGAAAGCTGGAGTAGATAGACTTGAGGTTAGCACTGCCAGGGGAAGTGGTGTGCACAAGTGTGATGTGGCATGTTGGTGCTAGGCAATGGCTGAGTCTGGGGAAGAAAAACCAGGATCCCTTGGCAAGATCCCCTAGTATCTGGCTTAGGTTTCAGCATTCACCATTCCCACAGTTCCACTAGTGGGTTAAAAAAAAAAAATGGTCGGGATTGAGTATCTCTGAAATATACCTCCCAGCATCTCACAGGTGTTTGTTTTTTGCTCCCTGCTTTCTCTCTAGGGTGTGAAGAGCAGTACCGCTCTGCCCATTCGAGTCAGGCTTCCGAAGCCCACTGTTGAGTTGGGGTTGTTTGTTCTTGTTGAAATGGGCATCTTGCTATGTTTGCCCAGGCTGACCTCCCACTTCTTGGCCTCAAGCCATCTTGGTGTCTCAGTTAAGTAGATGGGACGAAGGCAGGGTACCATCCAGCCAGCTTAAGGATGTAACGGATCACGCAAATCATTTTTGCAACTACAGTCGCAAATTGCGGCCGTGCCAATTTACGCCAAAGTACAAACGCAGGCAGAGATCCACGATCGCTGTTTACCAGGCTGACCAGGTTCCCCCCAGATACCCAGGGGTTCCAGAAGCCCGGCCTCCGGAGAGCGCTCCCGCGGCCCGGCCCCGCCCGCTTCCCAGGCTCCAGCGCGGGCCCCGCCCCTTCCGCCACGTAGTCCCGCCTTTCAGCCGCGCCTTCTTTCCCCCCAAGCCTAGCGGCGGGAGGGGGCGGGGCCGGGGCATGACGTCACCTCCGGCCGTACGCCATCTTGCCGGGTTGCGGCGGGACTTGGACGTGTCCCCGGCTGTGGTGAAGGCGTGGGGAAGGGTGGGGTGAGGGGGCGAGGCCGCAACGAGGGCGGCGACACTCTCCTCCTCTTGGCTCAGGCGGTGTGGGTCGGCGTGGACGTGTGTTTGGAGGGATGTCCGCCTTTTCCGAGGCGGCGCTGGAGAAGAAGCTGTCGGAGTTGAGCAACTCGCAGCAGAGCGTGCAGACCTTGTCCCTGTGGCTCATCCATCACCGCAAGCACTCGCGGCCCATCGTCACCGTGTGGGAGCGGGAGCTGCGGAAAGGTGAGTGGCCCGCGCCGCGGCCCCGGGCGGGCCCGGCCCCCGCCGCCCCGCCGCCCCGGGGCCCTCCGGTTCCGGGGCTTCGGGAGAGTGCGGCGGAGCCCGCGCGCGGGGGTCCGCCGCTCGCCGGGGCGGCGTGCGCCGCGCTCGCTCCCTGCACCGTCGCCGCTTAGCTTGAGGCACCTTCGGCGCTTCCTACCCAATCATTGCACAAAGGAACGAATAACTAAAAATAACCGGGAACGGCTGCCGATGGAACCCGGGAGCGGCAGGCAGCAAAGCCTGGAGACTCCGCACTCTGTGAGGGCTGGAAGCTCCAAGGCAGTATTTTGTTTTCGTCTGGTTCCTCTTCCCCCTCCCCCATGAAGGAGCTTATACCAGAGGATATACCAGAGGATAGGGTAGGGGAATAGAAAAGATGGGTGTGATTTGGGGGGGGGGGGGGAGTTAACCGCCCTCAGTTCTGTAACGTCAAACCCAGTCGTAAAATACTGGGAGTCTCAAGTAAGATGCATAATGTAGTGTGTGTGTGTGTGGGGGGGGGGGGAATCCTGACTTTGTAGATTTTTTAAAGGATCTGAATTGGCACATTTCTTTAGCTTCTGGATTTTAGAGGCTTCATTCGAAAATGAAGGAGTTAGATGAAAACTATCAAGGACTTTTCTGGTCTATACTACATCCCACGAGTACAAATATTTTTATTTTGAAAAATTCTTTATAATAATCTTGTAAATAAAGTGAACTTCTTGAGCAGATAGCTGCCAGTGAAATACTCAAAATCAGTTTTCTGCGAAGAGCTGATTTATAATATTTCAACTGATAATGGAAAAGTTCGCTTAGTGGTGTTTGTACCTTAATTCCAACTCATTAGAAGTGGACACTCTTCCTTAACCCAGATGTCCTGATGGTTTTGATGATTATTAAGTGTTAGTAGTTTTAACAAATTGTTATTGGTCAAATAGATGATTGCTCATTGGCCCACATGAAAGCCAATATGTTTGGGTGGAAGTATAGAGACAATGTATTTGCTTATGGGTAAGAGGATGCAATACCTTAGGAGAAATTGAGTTACAGCCTTGTTTTTCATTTGTGTGCATTGTGCTCCATGAGGAATTCAACTGAGTGGACAAAAAAGGCAAACAAAAAAACAAGACTAAAACCTCACAAAAACCACCTGGACAGATACTGGAAGTACTGGAGTTTGAATTTAGGGCCCTGATTTGCCAGGCAGAAGCTCCACCAATTGATCTATGTCACCAACAACATACGTAAAGGCTTTGGAAAGTAGCTGTGAACTTGGAAAAATCAGGAATTGACTGTACGTCTATACTAGATTTTGAAGTCAGCAGACTTATTTTATGAGGGATGGGTGTGGGAAAGGGTCATTTAGAAACATGTGTTGCGGTGCCAGTGACTCATGCCTGTAATCCTAGCTACTCAGGAGGCTGAGATCTGAGGACTGTGGTTTAAAGCCAGCCTGGGCAGGAAAATCTGTGAGACTCATCTCCTCTATGCTACTCAGAAAAAGCCGAAAGTGACACAGTGGCTCAAGAGGTAGATTTGCTAGCTTTGAGCACAAAGAAGCTCAAGGGCAGCACCCAGACCCTGCCTGAGTTCAAACCCTCAGGAGGGGGGCTGTGTGGGTGTAAAGAAACACATGTAACCAGTAAAGGATTGGTATTCAGAATACCAAATCAATAGAGAAATAGCAATACTTTGCACATGGGGCAACCTGAAAGGCCAATAAATGATACATAGTAATCAGAGGAAAAAAAAGCTAGTGTGGTACTACTTAATGTTCATCAGTTTGGCAAAATTGAAAGTATGAGACTATTTAGAATTACTGAAGATGACAACAAACAGTAAATCAATTCAGCCTGATGTAGGCTTCAGAACAGGCTTTTTTTTGAAGATAATAGCTATCTCTAATGAAGTTGAAGGTGTATATTTATTGACTTGACAGTTCTCTTTCTAGGAATATATCCTCAAAAGAAGTACATACTAACAATTGTGGGTTTTTTTTGCAGCCTTTATACAAAAACGGAAACAATTTTTTCTTTCCTTTTTTTGCAGTGCTGTGCAGTGCTTTGTACATGCTTAGCAAGTGCTCTACTACTGAGCTATATCCGAAGCCCTTAAAATGTGAAAATGTTTTAAACATTCAGTTAGTTAGAAATTGATCAAATATGATGTGATATTCATACAGCATAGTAATGTCCAGCAAGTTGTATAAATGAAAACGAGCTTCATGAGACAACACAACTGACTTAACTCTTAACACATTCTTGAGCTAAAGAAGCATGGTATAAACTATTATGAATTTGGTAAAGCTTGAAAACATACCAAATAGCAGTCTTTTTTTTCCCACATATACCTACAGCTACAACGAAGACATCACCTAATGCTCAGGAGACTGACCTAGGAGATTGACAGTTCAAGGCTAGGATGTGTGATATATAGGTAGACTCTGACTCAGAAAATATAGCCAGCAGCAAATAGAATCTATGCATATCAATCACTAACAACGGTGTTCCAAATAGTGGTTACAATACAAAGAAAAGAAAGGAACATAATCTGTTCTAATATTTTACATATTAAAAAAATTGGTCCAAATGTGGAAAAATAAATTATGTAGTTAGCTTGGTTTGGGATTGTTTTTATATGCTTATATGCTTAATATTAGTAGAAAAAAATAAAGCATATGAAGAGAAAGAAAAGAATGATGGTAATGAAGATGGCAGTTGTAGTGGTGAACATGTTGCCATAGCAATATCATGTTGGTCTGGTTAGTCTGCCAGAAGTTTCCTTTTCTTAACATATGACTACCTGTTCAGTATATAGCCTCTTTGTCCTCCCACTGTTTTTTGCCCATCAATGTCAGTATCTGCATTAGCTTGTAGATTGGAGCTGGGTCTTATATTGGTTATGAATGAGATAGTGGGATCCATTAGGAAGTTTCCTGTTTCAAATTTTAGCTACTTTAGTCCCAGCACTTAGCCTTTAATGAAGGTTCTTAAATTTTTATTTGTTGAATTTGCATTTACTAATAAGTTGTAGATTAATTGTTCAGATTTATTTGGTTTTTTAAAAAATAAGAAGTCAAAGAAGACTTTATTTGCTTAAAAAATAATAGTATAGTTGGGCACCAGTGATTCACACCTATAACCCTAGCTATTTGGGGCTGAGATCTGAGAATGGAAGCTGGGCTGCATAGGAAAGTCTGTAAGACTCTTTTTTTTTTTTTTTTTTTTTGTCAGTCGTGGGGCTTGAACTCTGGGCCTGGGCGCTGTCCTTCAGCTCTTCAGCTCAAGGCGAGCGCTCTACCACTTGAGCTACAGCGCCACTTCCAGTTTTCTGGTGGTTTATTGGAGATAAGAGTCTCACAGTCGTTCCTGCCCGGGCTGGCTTTGAACCGTGATCCTCAGATCTCAGCCTCCTGAGTAGCTAGGATTACAGGCGTGAACCACCAGCGCCCGGCTCTGAAAGACTCTTATCTCGATTAAACCACCAAAAAGCTCAAAGTGGAGCTGTGGCTGAAGTAGTAGGGCACTAGCCTTCAGCAAAAAAGCTCAAGGGCAGCATCCAGGTCCTGAGTTCAAGCCTCAGGACTCCCACCTCTCCCCATGCACACATGAAATTAAAATGAATTAAAATCTTCATTAAAATGAAGATTTTATCGTTTCTATTTCAGTGTTTAGACTAAATTTTTATATGTAAAATGATTTTATGTTTTCAAACTGAATTTACAAATGAACATTTATTACTGCATCTTTGAAAATAATGGTCAAATTATGTTCTGGATATATAATGCTTTTTCCCCCTCTCTTCATAGATTTTTCACATCCCTTTCTAGGAACAAGATCTGTAATATAAAGTAATTTTTGTAACTTTTTTTTTTTTTTTGGTCGGTCGTGGGGCTTGAACTCTGGGCTTGGGCGCTTTCCCTGTGCTCTACTGCTTGAGCCACAGTGCCATTTCCATTTTTCTAGTGGTTTATTGGAAATAAGAGTCTCACAGAGTTTCCTGCCCGGGCTGGCTTTGAACCATGATCCTTAGATCTCAGCCTCCTGAGTAGCTAGGATTACAGGTGTGAGCCACTAGTGCCCAGCTTGTAACATTTTTAGAGGACAGATTTAACTTATCAGTCAAAAGGGTGATTAAGAAAAAAAGGCCAAAGGGGTTGGGAAGGTGGCTCAGTGGTAGAGTGCTTGCCTTGCATGCCTGAGGCCCTGGGTTCGATTCCTCAGCACCACATAAGCAAAAGAAAAAAGCCAGAAGTGGCACTGTGGCTCAAGTGGTAGAGTGCTAGCCTTGAGCTGAAGAGCTGAGGGAGAGCACCCAGGCCCAGAGTTCAGGCCCCACCACTGGACTCCCCCCCAAAAAAGAAAAAGAAAAAAAGGCCAGTTGGGCTTTGTGGCTCTTGTCCAGTTACTTTAAAAATGGAGAACAGGAAGATCATCTGCAGAACATCTGGAGTGGCAAGGGGAAGGGAGTGCTATCAAGATCCCAATTTCAGTCAGTAAGTTGGGGTGTTGTGTGTCAGCACAACTGTCATCCTAGCTATGATTGTGGTCCAGGCTGGCCTAAGCCAAAACATGAGATCCTATCTCTAAAATGATGTAAACAAACAAGGACTGAGAATGTAGCATAAGTAGAACAACCACCAAAGAAGGCCTAGAAGGGTGGCTTATGTAGGAGAGCACCTGCCTAGCAAGCTTGAGGCCCTGGGGAGTTGAGCCTCCAGAACAACCCCAAAACAGATGAACGAACAAAAAAAGAAGATATAAAACCGCTTAAACTTACCACCTAGCTTTAATAGTCTGTACACACCTTAAAAATGATAGTCCTTCTTTCCTTTCCTCCCTTCAAACCCAAGGCCCTTGTGTAGGCTAGGCAAATGTTTTACCACTCAGTCCCAGTCCTAAAACTTAGTTCATAATTTATAAAGTATCTAGCTAGTGTTCATTTGAATCGGGATCCAAGTAAAACTTATTTATTGAAAT